GACACAACATCCTCTAAAGCAAAATTGATGACTGCATTTACCAAAGTACCATTCTAGAGAAGGGCTTTGGAGGTCCTTGTATCTCTTACAATTGGTTTCAAAATAATGCAGTAAAAGTAGTTTCAAAGGTTGCTGCAGTTGGCAGTGCCAATATGGGTTAATGAAAATTAAGAAAGAATTGCTGAAAAAGAAAGTGTTCTATTAGCGTCAGCTAAATATATACATTTGGTTAATATAATTATCCACTAAAAGCGTTAAAAATGGTGCAACCTTTATTGAGCAAATGAGCAGTTAAATTGAATGTATTAAATGCATATCAATTTCAATCATCTATTGTACTATTACTTTGACAAAACCATGTTAGTAACACACTGAGATCACTCACCCACGGAAGGTAAGCTGCTGTAAAAGTAAAGAGACCCAAGAAACTCATGTGGATAAAAGGATTTTGCTTGCTCCAAACATAAACCTGTAAAATCGGGCAAAATGTAACAAGCTTTCCAAAACAGTAAATGCATAAAGGGTTTATCAATTAGAAATGTTTTACATGTAAACAGAGAAACACTAACCATCATGAATGTCAATGAATTGCTCATAAATATTATCTTGGCAAATGACTCAGACACGTAAGGTATCATCCCCCCAATGAGAACAATCCCAGTTAAAATAGTAGCACCAAATAAGAGCATGTAAAAGAAATCGGCAGTCCTTCCCCGAAAAGAATTTTCCTCAAGAAGCTTGCAGTATCGGGCAAGAAAGAACATGTGAAACTAGTGTTTTCTTGAGTACTGCCTGGAGTAGAACTTTTAGTATGTGGCTTTGAAGAATTCGCTCATGTGGGCTATCTGTGACAAACATTCAAGGCTGTGTTTAGATTTTGAATTTTTGGAGGGAAAAGAAGGTAAGGGAAAAAAGATATAAATTTAACTTCGATTTCATTTGCTTTTCTCTTCTCTTTTCTTCCCTTCACAAATCCCTCCTCAATCCAAGATCCAGACATGGACTTGGTAATTTATGTTCTGATACAAAATACAAATTGTTATTTTTCTTGATTAATTTATCCGACCTGACTATTCTGGGTTACATGGATGACCAATTGTAACCATCAACCTTCAAATATATGGATGAAGGTACCTATATCCATACATGTGCTTCATAGCAAGCAAGTGTAGCTGATTGGGGCTGTAATATAAGGCTTTCAAACTTGGTAGCATAAACAGCCTTGAGTGAGCCCATTAGAGGTCATGGAAGAAAATAGCTCTTCAGATGTTTGCTACACCCTTTAAGGGTCACCTTTTAACAAATTGGTGTTTGGTATCAGGTTTGTATCTGGATATACATCTGGATAGATGACAACAGTGTTGTGGAATTCATTGGAAGGATATTCATTGCAGGTTAGGCATTTTATCTAGCTGTTCTCTGTGCGCTACAAGCTTAATTTGTGGAGATTGAAAATTTCTGTTCCAACCATTGTTAATTGTTCTATATATTGCTTTGTCCTGTGCTTATTTCATTTTTAAATATTTCAGCTGTATCATTTCTGGCAGCATTAGGTTTCTTGCTGTATGGAGGAAGGTGAATCTTCTGAATCATATATATATTGTCTTATGTTTTACGCATCTGAAGCAATCTTCATTCTGAATATCCCATATATTTATAATGTTCATGTTTTCTTATACTTTTCCCATGTGATGCTGTATCTAATGCTTTCAGATTATTTTTCATGCTGAGACGTTTCCCTATTGAATCTAAAGGGAGAAGAAAGAAGCTTCATGAGGTTTGTGCTTTCTGATTACAGTTTGTTTACTGGATAACAAAACATAATTGCTAGAATTTGTTGTGGAGCAGCTTGGGTTCATTGTGCTCTTCCATAGTAATGCATTGGAAACATGTATCACTTGCAAATCTTCTTCAATGATAGCATATCTGACAACCATGTCAATTTATAGGAAGATTGGAGAGGAGAAACCAACGATCCCTGTTAAAGTGAATTATTTGGATAGAGTAGACTAGTTTCATTATTAAAAAAATGATAATATCATTACAAATATATGGGACAATAGAATGTGCATATTATTCACTGTAGGACAACGTATTGGATCAGAACGACAGAATTTGCCAGACAAGGTACTGAATCGGACAGATCCAAATATCATCCCACTTGGCTTCAACAGAATTCTTCATATTTTTTCTTGTCATATGTATACATTTTAAATATAAAAAAAAACCTTTTTTATTTTTATTTTTTATTAGCATGAGTCTTTAAGCTATATAACTGATACTCCAATTTTTATTTTTTATTTTTTTTTAGCATCAACAAAGAATTTTATTAAATGATCAAAAAGAAGGGAAGCGGACAAGAAGTCCTCATACAAAGAAAAAGAAAAAATTCAAAAGAAAAGCCACGAAACTCTTAGCACTAGGGATGACAAATAGTAGCCCAATCCCTAGAAATCCAAAAAAAAAAAAAAAAGGGGAACTCCTTTAAAACTGATACTCCATTTTTTATGCTACAAATTCTCTCACGAGATTCCATCCAGTTGCTGCTTAAAAAATAGCATTGACTTTATGTATAACATACACATACAGAACGAAAACAGTTAATACATAAACTGATGCTCTTTTCACTTTATATAAGTATTTTGTCAAATTTATTATTGGGACTGGTGCTGTGAAGTCTTCCTTGTAACTAAAGTAACTCTTTTTTTAATCTCTCTCTCTCTCTCTCTCTCTCTAATTTGGAAGGTATTTTTTTTTCTAAATCTATTTTACATAAATGGCAGGTTAATTGGACCATGTAACTTGGTGATAATATGTGCTAATTGTTGCAGGTTGGATCTGTGACTGCCATATGCTTCACCTGCTTTCTCATAAGATGCTTTGTGGTAAGTTCCAGATTACTCTGTGCACCACTTACTTGTGGAATAGTGTTTTCTTGAGTACTGCCTGGAGTAGAACTTTTAGTATGTGGCTTTGAAGAATTCGCTCATGTGGGCTATCTGTGACAAACATTCAAGGCTGTGTTTAGATTTTGAATTTTTGGAGGGAAAAGAAGGTAAGGGAAAAAAGATATAAATTTAACTTCGATTTCATTTGCTTTTCTCTTCTCTTTTCTTCCCTTCACAAATCCCTCCTCAATCCAAGATCCAGACATGGACTCGGTAATTTATGTTCTGATACAAAATACAAATTGTTATTTTTCTTGATTAATTTATCCGACCTGACTATTCTGGGTTACATGGATGACCAATTGTAACCATCAACCTTCAAATATATGGATGATATAATCATTAACCTTCAAATAGTTGGATCATGGAGTCTTTTTATCTTGCTTTAAGTTTGGGCATGGATTTTGATAGAGGAGAGAAAAATTAAAAATTTCTTTTGTCATCAAAAAGTAAGGCTCAAATTGAAGATTGTTCAAAGCTGGTAAACTAGAAGTTTTGGGATGTTGAAATTTCAACTGTAATCAAGAAACTTGATACTTCTGCCAAGAACATGTGTTTGACGCCCTTTTACATGGGACAGGTGGAGCAGCAGCTTATTTGCCTTTTGAAAACTTATGTGTTTGTGTGACATGAATGTGAATATTATTATTTTTATTTATTTATTTTTGGATAAGTGACATAAATGTGGAATCTTGAAGCAACATTTACTTTTTCCACAATCAAATTACTGTAATTTTGGCTTTTCCATAATGTGTTTTTTATAAAGCACAAGATGGTACTGTTGTACGTTGCAGAAAGTACTAGTCCATAACACTAGCATATGTGTGTGTGTTGTGTGTGAATAAGAGGCTCTTGGATATGCTGTAACCATGGACTACGAGGTTATTCTCACATTACTAAGGTTCAGGATAGAATGCAAGTAGATAGCTATGAAAGGAAGTTTCAGCTGTTTTGGTGAACTGTTGGAACACTTTAACAAGTTACGGGTAGAGAAATCTACAGAGAGTATCTTTAAGCCCAACATTTGAAGTCAAGTGTTCATTTGCTTTGTAGTTGTTGCTGCCCTTTAACTATACATTAAATTTCCTACTCATGCCCTTTAACTCAATTCTCCCAATGCAGGTTATTCTATCTGCATTTGATTCAGATGCATCACTTGACGTGTTGGATCATCCAATTTTGAACTTAATCTATTACATGGTACTCTACAAAACATCTACAATACCAACTTCCTAATTTCAGATATTTCATATTCATTTTCTCTAAGCATGTTTTTTAACTTTCTATTGCTTAAAAACAGCTGGTTGAGATCCTACCTTCGGCTCTTGTCCTCTACATACTACGAAAGTTGCCTCCAAAGAGAATATCAGCCCAATATCATCCCATCCGTTAGCCATGGTGTGCATCGTCGTTCTCAGCATTACCATTCTTTTCACCTTGAAAATCGGTTGCGGCATTAGATGCTAGAGGAGTCAGGGAAGAGAATTAGGGCCAGAAAATCAATCCAGATGCATTATCTTCATCCTGGTTTGGCTCATATGTCAGCATTCATTTTTTCCCATGTATAATACACGAAGTTCTCTGCAACAAGCTGATGCAGATACAGTGAATTGATTTCTTCATAGTTTCTGTGGCTTGAAAGTTTGGGTACTTGATACATTTTTTTTGCAGTTTTATTGGGTTTGGCAGTGGAAGGAAATTTTTCTTAATTGGATAGAATGCTTTTTTTCCTTTTCCCTGTTTTTTTTAGGTTTTTTTGATGTCGCTGCATATGCATGTTGTGCTATTGCTTGTAGCATTTATTTTTTTTCTCAGCCTATCATACATTTAATAGGGCAATGTACCTTACTCCAAATCAATGTTAAATTTTGTTCGATTTGGTTTCTGCCTGAATTTTTTTTCCTTTTTTTTTCACGTTGTGCTCTAGTTTGATGCTGTGAAATCAATTTCTCATCTCCAAAAATGCTCTATTAATTTTTCAACTAACGTGTCACAGCTTTAATTCGTAACAGTCATTTTAATAATTATTGATTTGAAATACGATAAATAAAGGTAAGAGTTGTGACACTTCTTTGAGGAATTTGCATTGGATACAAAATATAATTGCTTGAATGAGGAATTTACACTTGTATTGTGTTTTTCTATGACAATGAGAAGCCGAAATGAGGCAATGCCATACAAGTTAGATAATAAACACCGGAGCAAGCTAAAGTGCCAAAATTTGCAAAAATTTCCGTTCATTGCAAGCCCTACTTCAAACCCTACGGTTTAGCAAGATGTTCTGTATCCAATGTGGTGGTTACTGTTATGGAGGGACATTGTCCAATATTCGAACTTCCAACAAAATATCCTAACTCAATGCAAGGGCATACACAACACTGATTATCAAAAAAAACATAATTCCACTATGTACAATATAACATTTGAGAAACAAAATCAAAATGATGACATAAGATTGTAAGGCAAAACAAATTCTTGAATATGATAACAAACTTCAATGAACAAAAAACGCTCTATACTAACTAGGAATTATGGAGTCCAGACTAAACACTCAAACCCATTGGGCGGTAGCAACATCATTACAAGGTAAACCACCTGACAAGGAATGAAGACAGTGACCATAACTAGCACATCACTCAAAGCAATGTCATAAACAAAGGATCGATCATAATTCCATTTGGGCATCAAAATAATTTTCTGAGAACATTAACAGCAGCTAATCCAGCAGCATTTGTCTAGTCTTTGGGGGATTTGATTAGTTTTGTTGTGCTTCCTCTACCGGCGGAGCAGCAAATCTCACATTCGCAGGCCTTGCCACCACTACAGGCTCATCAGCAAATAGGGACCTGATAAATGACGGTGTTTTGAGGGGTCGACGGCCTGTCATCCGGGGGTACACATCTTCAAGAAAATAGTAGGCATGACCAGCTATCATTCCCTGAACCACAAAATATCATTTATTTTCAAGTGGGTAAAAAATGTATATTAAAAAAAAAAAGGCAACAGACATGAGTGAACAAAAAGGGTACTCAAAATAAGAGATAGATCACTTGCGAAAGCAAAATCCCGATTTTCCCATTACAAATCCACAAAATATACTTATTCAAGGACCAGAAGCATATTTCATATACACCTTGGGTCCCAGAGTTGAATATGTATGTAGGACTATCCATGTTAAATGTCTAAATGCACATCTAGTAACGCTCATCAAAATGCATGGTATTATTTACACATAAGGCACTGCATAAAACGAAAGTATACCGTGCAACAAGAAGAGGTATCTCAAGGGTTGTGACCTAGAATTTCTTTTTCAACCAATTTCCATAAGTTTAACGACATTTGAAAATTAGAGAGGTGAATACAAGAGAGGACTATGAGAGTGCTTTGGATTAAGAAAAGGAGGATTCCCTCATGACCCACCAATTCAAGGATTGTGTGTGAGGCTAGTACGTATTTCAGTGTGCAAAGACTACATAATGCAGTAAAGTGCCCTTAGGTTTTATGCCATTCTTAGTGTAGAGACTTGGGAAAATATATTCAGTAGGGAGGTGCCTTCCAGCCCATTCAATATTCACCAATATATTAAGATTCCCAAACCTTCACCTAACCCATCCCAAATAATAATTTACCTAATATGGTTTCCAAATTGTTCCCAGTGCGAAATTCAACACTAGTAAAGCACTGTATCAGGCTCAAACTACCAAGAATGTGGACCATATTTACCACACAGGAATGCTCATGTCAGACAATGAAAGTGAAAATGAAAATGAAAATAAAAATGATACTTTAGACGCACCAGTAGATCCACCCAAGCACTAGCACCAACAAGGACAGAGAACCCCAAAAGCACCTGTAGGAGAAGGAGTTCATTGTGAGTGATAAAGAACCAAAAACAGAAACATAAAAAACACTTACTTTTCCTGTTCAATTCTAGAATCAAGAGGTGCTCTATGAGAAATGCATTGGATAATCTGAAACAACATATGGGTGGGTCATATTTACTCTTCAACTATGAATCTCAACTTGCAAAGACATATGATGACACTAACAGAAGCAATATATCCATAAAAATGCCTCCTTAGGCATTCGGTGCTAAGTTTCCAAGGATCAACGGTAACAATACAATACAACATTGCCAACAGGACTTCAACCTTATCCTCATTTCCCTTATAATGGTGTTAGGTATCCAATGATATAATCAATGGTCACAATACAACACAACAAGACTTAACCCTTATCCTCAGTTTCTTTATAATTGAGCACAACAAAAAAATAATTGAACCACAAAAAGCCACTGGCCACACTTCAATTAGGGGTTGGAATGTTTGTCCCAAATGCTGCATCAGTGGACAACTGAAGGGAAGTCAAATCTTAATGACCTAATGGATACTGCTGCAGGCCACTAACAATATATTTTAATGCAGTATCCATGATCCATGCTTTTAAATAAGAATTGACAGCATGCGACAACATCAAACAGAACAAGTGATGCATAACAAAAAAAATCACAATCCAAAAGGATCAATGATAGATACGAAACAGTGAAGAAATTAATGTAGGAAAAGACAACTGAAAACATGTAAGTTCAAAACTCGTTAGGGCTACCAATTTGCTTATTGGACTTCTCCCTAAAATGAAATAATAAAAAAAATTAAATATAAAACATATCATAATTGCATCGAGAGCTAAAAATAATCAAACTCAAAAGATAGTAACCATAATTCTCCCTTTTTTGGTGCTCTTGGATCAGACTTGAATCTTGCACTTTCCTCTAGTGGGGGAAAAAAAAAGGTTTGGGCCACGGTTTGTTTCTATACTTTTACAGAACAATGTTGGCATCCCACATATCATATCCATTCCTTTTTGTCTCTTTTTCAAGAGACTATCCACATAAATGCCTCACCAAGAAAACAACAAATTACCTCCTTTGGTAGAGGATAATAAAGAGGACTCCACTAGATTCGAACACCTGGACACAACATCCTCTAAAGCAAAATTGATTACTGCATTTACCAAAGTAACATTCTAGAGAAGGGCTCTAGAGGTCCTTGTATCTAGGGGTGTGCATAATACCGCCGAAACCGCCGAAACCGCCAAAACCGCACCGAACCGCACCGCCAAGGCAAATTCATTATTATTTGTCAATCGAACCGCCGGTTTTTGGTAAGAAAAATGGCAAATTCTAGTGACATTTTTATCAATCCGCCGGTTTCTATTTTTCTTCCAAACCGCACCGACCCGCACCGCTATTAAATCATGTTTTATAGGATTCTAAAAATCCTTTTTTACTTAAGTTTGCTTGTTGTTCTATACCTTAGAATATAGTATTACATTAATGCTCGAGGGGAATTTTATGTATTGTATTTGATCATTGCAGCTTTCACAGATACTTGTAATGAACTGATGGCATAGTCGTTGATATTATCATGTTGTTGCTACACTTGCTGCATCAGAAGAAAGCTTCGCAAGATGCTTAATATCACGATGTCTCTCGTCTTTTTTTTACTCTTTGATTTAAGTTTTGTAATTTGAATTATATTTTTTATAAACCGCCAATCCGCCCGAACCGCCAAGGCAAATCCGCCATTATTTGCCAACCGAACCGCCGGTTTTTGATAAGGAAAATGGCAAATTCTAGTGACACTTTTATCAATCCGCCACCCGCCATACAGTTTCTATTTTTCTCTTAAACCGCACCGACCCGCACCGCGCACACCCCTACTTGTATCTCTTATAATTGGTTTCAAAATAATGCATTAAAAGTAGTTTCAGGTTTCTGCAGTTGGCAGTGCCAATATGCGTTAATGGAAATTAAGAAAGAACTGCTGAAAAAGAAAGTGTTTTATTAGCGTCAGCTAAATATATAAATTTGGTTAATATAATTATCCACTAAAAGCGTTAAAAAGGGTGCAACCTTTATTGAGCAAATGAGCAGTTAAATTGAATGTATTAAATGCATATCAATTTCAATCATCTATTGAACTAGTACTTTGACAAAACCATGTTAGTAACACACTGAGATCACTCACCCACGGAAGGTAAGCTGCTGTAAAAGTAAAGAGACCCAAGAAACTCATGTGGATAAAAGGATTTTGCTTGCTCCAAACATAAACCTGTGAAATCGGGCAAAATGTAACAAGCTTTCCAAAACAGTAAATGCATAAAGGGTTTATCAATTAGAAATGTTTTATTTGTAAACCGAGAAACACTAACCATCATGAATGTCAATGAATTGCTCAGAAATATTATCTTCGCAAATGACTCAGACACGTAAGGTATCATCCCCCCAATGAGAACAATCCCAGTTAAAATAGTAGCACCAAATAAGAGCATGTAAAAGAAATCGGCAGTCCTTCCCCGAAAAGAATTTTCCTCAAGAAGCTTGCAGTATCGGGCAAGAAAGAACATGTGAAACAGGAAGTCCAGATCTGGTATATCGAAATCCAATAATGTTAGGACAGATATTATCAAGTGTAGGCAAATTTAATCCGAGCACATACATGAATTAAATGCAAGATTTTCAACAATATGAATAGATTTAGTTGAAGCAAGAACTTCAAAAATTCAAACAGTAGGCATCATTAACTAACTGAGCAGTTATGACCAACAGATGAACTGTTTGACTGACAGAAATGAAACATAATTTGTCATTGAGCTAAGACTATAGAAATATGTACTTTCTACCCTGCAGGTGGCTTGTTTATATTTCCAAATTCCAACTAACTAACAAAATTTTAGCAACTGAGCAATCCCTCGAGTAAAAAAAAAATTACATCTTCTCTCAACCTGCCCACTCATGGTTTCGAGGCAGTGCTCCCCAACCCACGTTGGGGTCCAAGGGAGCATGAAGGAGTCTCTATCCCAAACTCAACCTACTGCCAACCCCAGAGGTGTGCATTCATTAAAAAATCCAATTGGCTGAGTGTAAGTTATAGGTCATAACAAGGCTACTTGGATGCAAGGAAACCAAATGGTTGATCAACATTTAAAGCTAACAATATATTTGGCTTGAAAAAAGTCTCCACTAAACAAGGAACAATTGACAGGAGGAGAAGATGGAAATCATGACATTTGAACGTCTGATCTGAAGTCCAGGTGACACCAGTTTCCACTCTCTATACATAGCGCATCAGACCAGTAGAGGAAGTAAATGTCCAGACTGGCTTGTTGCCCTTGTATTACCTAGACCTTTGACACTCCACTTCAACTTAGACCTTGTTCGAGATAATTTAGAAGACCTTAAAGGCATAACTACACCCCTGCACCATTCCAGGATACGTGTGTATGAAATCGTTGATTATTTGAATACTGGAATATAGAATCATTTGTAGAAGGCCATCCACCTTATAGTTAAGGGGGTCAAGGCAAGTAACTTTGTACTTGAAGCAAGCTTTTAAACTTGTTAATGAAATATAGTATTTGTATACTTAGAATTGATTACAACATACACTCAAGTGTATTTTACATTAAATGCTATTATTTGAGACCCATAAATGTTAATATTCAAAAGAATGCTTCGAAATGTGTTTTGTGCAAAGAATCTTCGAATACCTACAAACTATAAACTCACCCAACACGTCATATATGGAAGCAAAGAGTTTTCCAAAACTAAGCGCTACAATGCATTGAAATGCATAGTGGGAGCTACCTCTAAAATCTATATGAGCCACTTCTTCAATCCCTTTATGTAATGTTATATTTCCCTCTGTTTACCACTGCATGGGCCTCCATTTGGAGTTATCTGATATGTGAAAGGATATATGTATTGTGTTAGAATTTACCATAAACCTACCACTACCACCTCACCTACTCCACTAAACCTAACCCACTACACCACTACCACCTCCACTTCACCTACTCTCCACCTACTCCCAAACACACTCCTATATAATAGGAATCCTTGTAATTGTAATAGATACAACAAGCATACATCAATCAATAATACATATATTTTTTACATATTGCAAACTCCTATACTAATTCTAATACACGCACCATGTCAGGAGATTGGTGAAAGCTACTGACATTTACTTTTACTATCTTTTTGTACCTTTTGAAAATTACATACCCTTGATATTATCATGATTTGAGTACATTATTGCTTTTCAAATAACGGATTTTTGATATCCATGATTTTAAAACTTCTTTCAGTTAGGTTGCTGACTAAGCTAGTTAGCTTTCCCCCTTTTTGCTATGTGATTACAGGTGATGAGTGCAAACATGGAAACCTTAGAGGCCAATGAACCTAGGTGGAAATCCTTTGTGATCCTTGCTTTTGAAAGTTTATGCCGAGTCCTTATGTCAACACTAGTGTTATCGACATAGGGCCCGTGTATATAAACTATTTTGACAGCCAAAGTGTGGCGACAACCTTGAGGACATATTTTAATTTTAAGATGAATGTATGAATTAAGCACATGCTCTATTACTTCCACAATGACTGTTTTTGCTTTAGGCCTTTGGTAGCAAGAGCCATGGGCCAATCACGCCAAATCCTCCTAGGGAGGGATTGGGGCTATGACCCCGACCACAACATCTTTTTTTTCTTCTATTTTTTCTAAAAAAAAAAGAAAGGAAAGAAAATACCAAGAACCAAAGATTAAGATATGTTCCGATTACTATATTTCCCATATCTTCGAGAGACCCTAACATCAAATAGTGTATCCCACACCTGCATATATGAGCCAAAAAAAAGTTACTTCTGTTCCGTTGCACATAACATTCAGAGGGGAAAATAGAGAGAGAATTGCAAAAGCATGAAGCATAAAAAGTTATATCCTAGTATATACATATAAAAACATACATAGTATTTAAAATGAAATTAATATCATTATAACTACATTATATATATACATGTAAAACTATGATATATCAATATAATTAATTGATCTCTCTCTTCTTCTCTTTTTGTTTTTTGTTTTTTTGTGTTCTGTTTTGTGTGTGTGTGTGTGTGGGGTGAAAATGATGTTGTTTCATGAATTAAGGTCAGAGTAGATCTAGACTACTGTGGTTGTTGTCCTTGAAACTAAGGTAATGCTTCGCTGCCTCTTAGTCGCATGTCCTTCAGACTGCACAACATTTTTTACAACCAGGACTTGCAAACATGCCTCAGCGATCCACTTAAATGTTACAACCAAACTCTCCATTTGTTGCCCTAATCTAGCTTTCTGGATTTAGTCAAATGGTTTAATAGCATCCAAGGTTTTAAAAAGCGGCCGCAACTGTTACGTAACGCTGTTACGTAACAGTTTTGGCGGTTACCACAACCCGTTACGGCCGCTTTTGCAGTGTGATTGAGATTCACAGGTGTGTCGGCTGTAACGGCTGCCGTAGCGGTCGTAACGATGCCGTAACAACTGTAACGGCCTGTTATGCACCGTTACGTAACGATTCCAAACTGTTTCTTTCGAAAAAATACACACAAAAAAGTTGAAAATGGGGGAAGAGGGAAGATAAAAGAGAGAAAATGGAAGAGCAAGAGATCGAGAGAGAGAAGAGGGAAGATGAAGAACATGTTATTGATCTATATATAGAAGAAAATGTGGTAGTAGGTGTAGTGGAGGTGATAGTGGGTTAGGTGAAGTGGAGTGTGTGGTGAAGTGGAGGTAGGTGAAGTGGAGTGTGTAGTGGAGTAGGTGAAGGTAAAGATGGGAAATTCTAACACATGCTCTTGATATTATCATGATTTGAGTACATTATTGCTTTTCAAATAACGGATTTTTGATATCCATGGTTTTAAAACTTCTTTCAGTTAGGTTGCTGACTAAGCTAGTTAGCTTTCCCCCTGTTTGCTATGTGATTCCAGGTGATGAGTGCAAACATGGAAACCTTAGAGGCCAATGAACCTAGGTGGAAATCCTTTGTGATCCTAGCTTTTGAAAGTTTATGCTGAGTCCTTATGTCAACACTAGTGTTATCGACATAGGGCCCGTGTATATAAACTATTTTGACAGCCCAAGTGTGGCGACAACCTTGAGGACATATTTTAATTTTAAGATGAATGTATGAATTAAGCACATGCTCTATTACTTCCACAATGACTGCTTTTGCTTTAGGCCTTTGGTAGCAAGAGCCATGGGCCAATCACGCCAAATCCTCCTAGGGAGGGATTGGGGCTGTGACAACTATCACTACCATGGTCTCCGATCCCCCACCACCATCATCCACCACATCAAAAGTCTTACCTCCTTGTTGCACAATTCTCCTCTTCATCATTTTTCAGCATCATTTCCCACCCATAACTTCTTGTTTTGATGCTCCAACAATATCTTCTTCCACATCTGCCAAGAAACCACTTCTTGCATCAACACATCAAGGAAGAGGTAGTGTTACTAGCAAGTAGCAAGGGAGTTGTGAATATTGGTTCTCTCTTGGAGTGGGTTTTTGAAGGGTGTGATGGAGCAAAAAGGGGGCTACAATAGGGAAAAGAACGAAGAAGTTGAAGTGTCTGATTCCTTTACGCATTATATGGATAATTTAGGGGAGTAGAATAGTAGATCTTTTAATGGTTTTGATACTCCTTTGTATGGGCTTAAGAGTTCTTTTATGAGATTTTTGTACAGTAGGAAGTAAGTAGCCCATCTCTCGACCACTTTCAGATTTTGTAGATCTTTTTGAAACATGTGGTCGAGCATAGCACTTCGCTTGTTGCTTCTTTTTATAAATGGATGGCATTCCCTTGATATCTTTTCCTTAATTTGACTAACAAAATGGCCTTTGATAGAACCATGTGGAGAAGAAGGATTCATGTAGTCGACCCCATTTGATGAGACTTAAGGCTTGGTTTGATTTATCAAGAAGAGATAATCTAATTGAGGATTATATATTCCATATAAAGGAACTATGATTTTTCTTTGTCTTCTAAATTTTAAACCACTTCAAACATTGATAAAAAAAAAGTCAATAAAGAAACCTATCTTAGCAAGCGCACTCAAATGACATTGAAATAGATATCGCCATAGAAACACCTACGTTTTGCACTTTATGATGTCAAAATAATTCAATTGAAATAACTGCAAACATTTTCCCCAAGTTTAGAAGAGTAAAGCAGCCATGTGCGTAACTATGTTTTCACAAGCCTTTTTTTTTTATATAAATAACGAGTAACAATTTTATTTAAAAAAGAGCATCAAGATGATGCTAACAAATACAGCCACAAACTGCACCACTCCAACCTACATCTAGACATGCAATGAATCAATGAAAACCACAAAAGAAAATAATCCAGAACCACACTCCCCGACACCCAACTATACAAAATCGCCAAGAAAATATTCTTCAAACGAGGCATAGAGACCTCTATCCCCTGAAAAATCTGATCATTACACTCCAACCAAACCAGCCACCCCGCCAACTGCGGAAAACATCCACCACAATATTGCACCCAATCCAAACCAAACACCGAGAAAATCAAGCCCCAAAGTTGATTTGCCACAGAACAGTTAAGTAAAAGATAAGAAATAGACACTGCGTCCCGACAGAACATACAGCACCAATTAACCAAATTCTGACGACGTTGTTTCAGATTTTATCATTTATGAATTTCATAAGACAAATAATTAATCAACCCAAATTCTCTACAAAGCCCTACTACATACATAAAAGATCAATCAACGCATACGGAAGCCAGAAGGTTCCAAAAAGTGCAACTCCAACAATAAAGACATATCGTTCTCAATGGATTTACTTGGAAGTTCATGGTTAAACAAATTACCCATTTTCCGGAAGTAAAGGAAATTGGTGACGAGCCGCCAAAACTGGTAATGCTTGACCACTAGCTTAGGGTGCAAATACAAGTTATAAGGAGAGATTATCTGCAAATAAAATTCACTAGTTAAATATCAACATTGATAAAACTAATGATACATAAATGACTACTTACTCTTACAACTTCCAATTAACCCATCATCTAATTAAAATACAAAATTTGAAATTCACATGGGTACATCAATACATACATTTAAAGTTAATAAAAACCTATTAATCTCCTATAACCACCCAAAAAAATTCATTCTTTTCACACATGTATACATATAGATAACTAGTCTCACCAAAATTAAAATTTAAAAAAAAAAAAATTTGATAATAAGCCTAACCCAATAATACCCAAATGCATAGAATGTGAACCACTAAGTAATAGATGATGAAATCAATAATTCTGTACAATTTGCTCACACTTACATACAAATACAGAAATACATCAATCGAGAGAGAGAGAGAGAGAGAGAGAGAGAGAGAGAGGCATACATCGAGAGAGCAACCGACTGTGATAACAATTGCAGCAGTGAGATAAGAACGGGTGATGATTGGCATCTGCTTGTACCATTCTTCGACAGCTTGAGCCATATCACTCTTCGATTTCTGAATCAATCCTCAAAAACCAAAACCCTAATTTCAATTTCAACCCAAACCCAGCTAGTTTTCGGAGATAAAAACCAATAATGGGATGGCTGACAACAACTTCGAATCGATAGAGTCACAAAATAATTTTTACATATATTATTTGGAGAGAGAATTGAAATAAAGAAATTAATGTAAGTGGTAAATTACTCTCTACCCCATTTATATTTAATCATTATTTTTATTTTTATCCTTAAATTTTTATTTATTTATTTTGACTTTTTATATTTTAAATTATTTTTTAAATTTATTTCAAAATTAACTTATATTTAAAATTAAATAAAAAAATCTTGACAGTCACATAATATAAAAATATTTTATTATTTATAATTTACTTTATATAAAATTATTATATATAATCGTAAGAATTATTCATATTAATTCATAAAAAATTAAAAATTTAAATCATAATTTTAGTTCTCAAAGGGTTCTGATTAATTATGTAACACATTATAATAGCCGCAAATTTTTTATTCTAACCAAATTATTTTTGCATATCTTTTCTAACAAAGCACAGGAAGGTGCATTATCAGTAATACTATAAATTCAAATTTTTTATTTAAAAATCATTCAAGAAACATATACATGGTTTGTTTGGGATGTGTTTTGGCTTTTTTTAGCTTTTTGACTATTTTAGTGTGGGGCTAGAAAGTCTTGTTTTAGAAGGATTTTTTGAATTTTTTGACTTTTTATGAGAGAAAGAATGTAATGATTATTGATTTGATGTAATATTTTATTTTATTGGACTAAAAAACTTATTTTGTCTTTTTGTGGCTAAAATAATCCAAAACCCAACCCAACCCTTCCCTTCTTCCCAAACGAAGCCATAATCATTTTCGATGAATCACTATTTTTTAAAATAGTATTCCATTATTTATCATTTGGCATTAATCAATTTATCATCTAGAAACTTAACAAAAAAATATTGAATTTCATTATTTTAATCAATCAATATCAAATTGAACGATGCACGTATATGTAAATCACTTCTAAAAATATGATACTTGACATAAAATCACAATAAAGTTAATTTTAATTAATGTAACAATATTTTATATTATGATATGTGTTACCAAAATATACTATTAATTTTAATTGAAAATAAAATAAAATTTTAAATTAAATTATGTATTTTAATAATCTTAACTTTATCGTTCTATAAAAGTATTACTTAAATACTTATATATAATAAATTTAGTTAAATTATTTGTTTATTTTGATAATTTTAGTTCTATTGTGCTATAAAAGTATAATTATCATATAATGATTTTATATGATATATACTAAATTATAAGATATTAAAATAAACATTCATCTTGTTATTAAAAACAATAGTTAAAATAGAAAGAGAATTAGTAATATAAAACTAAAAGTGATTCTAATTATTTATTTTTATATTTATTTAGAAAATAAAAATATGTAAAAATAAAACTACACAAAATTTATTTAAGAAATTAAATATAAATATCTTGTGATATGATTAATAAAAAATATATATATAAATTAATTATGAAAAGTATTGATTTTTCCTTTAATATTCTTTTTGAATTATTCATACATATTGTTATGAGAGCCAGAAAAATATAGGTGCTAACTTATTGAGCCTAACCCAAACAAAGTCTACAATGGGTCTAACCCAAACAAATATCACACCTCCCATCTACATAAAAGAGGGGGCATCCCAAGTGGAAGGGATGTTTTGATCTCTCTCTACAGAACACACACCCCTTCAAATATATATACAATTTACTTCCTTGATTCAAGGACTAACTTCATCATCGAAGAGTCCCCGGCCGGCAACCCCGGTTGGGTGGCACCGACTATGTTCATCTTTGCAGATCTATAGGGGTGAAACTCTTCTCTTCGTTGGATTTCTACAACATCCATGTGAGAGGATATTTCATGGTCTCACAATTGGCGCCGTCTGTGGGAAACGTCTGAAAGAGTTCAACGAAGGAAATAACAAACATGTGACTGTAAATAAAAATCCAACATCACTTTGATGGAGATCTTTGTTCTCTCTGAGTAAATTTATCTTAAACTTATTTGCAAAATTGGTTCTTTGTTCCTGGTACATGTTGATGAAAAAAGTGTTAAATCAGAATAGAATTCATGGGTCTACTTTTACATCTCTGTTTTCTCTCTCTCAAAATGGGTTTCACATTTTTCTTGGTGCACACATCTTTTCGGCAATTCAATTAAGTTGCTCGGCTAAATCCATATGTGGATCTGTCCGTTTATTTATTTATTCTTTGTTTCTCAAAACTTAGCTTCAAGTTGATGCTTGACATGTATGCACGTGTACCTATGCTAGAACTTTCTGTAGAATCCAAGGCTGGGTCTTCAATTTTTTCTCTCACTAGAATTGGACCACAATAACTTGGAGTGGATTAAGCTTTCTTATTCGGCACTTTATTTGGCTTGTCTATCAACCAACTCAGCAACAGTAACTCTTTATTGGGTTGTTCGTCAACTCTCTTGTTATTCTAAATCTCATTTCTGAAAGCTGTCTCTATATTTGCAAAGATACATTTATATATATATATATATATATATATACATGGATACAAATATTTGCATATGCATCAGACTTGTTTGTTCGGCTCACAGACAAGGTGTTCTTTCCTAAGGCTATTCATGAGAAGTGTTTTTGATGCCTCAATCAAACCCAGTGACCACATAATAATTCATCTGTTCGTAAAAGAAAGACATCTTTAAATAATTCATCAGACCTTTTGTACAAAGCTTGATATGATATCATCAAGATGCTTATGTCTCATATTTATCTTTTTGTATTTTGATAAATTTTGGTATCATATTTTAAATTCTTGATCTATTTGATAGCATTTATAAGTTAATTTATTTGATTTATTACTTGAAAAAATTATTAATATTATTTGATTATAGTTTTAATCTTCTTTTTTTTTCCAAAAATAAATGGGATTTAAATCCATACTTTTAATTTGAGAACCATCTACCAATTGAGCGGCACCCAACATACATAATAATCTAAATTATAAATTTTAAAGACAACCTAAATATTTATAGAGGAAATGTGAGGACTTATTTAAAGTTTCGTTGGGCATGCGGAAAAGCTTGACTTTTTAGTTATTTTAGTCACAAAAAGGACAAAATAAGTTGAAAAGTCAATAAAATAAAATGTTACATCCAAATTATAATCATTTTATTTTTTCTGTCACAAAAGTAAAAAAATTCAAAAAGGCTATCCTAAACGAGGCTTTTTAGCTCCATGTTAAAGTAGTCAAAAAGTCAAAAAATCCAAAAACTAACCCATATCCCAAACGAAACCTAAATAATTTTTTTTATATTTATTTATAATTTATCCGAAAGCTACACCAAATACATATAGGACTGTCTTTTTCAATTAATATAAAATGCTATTTTCATAAAAATTAACCTAGCAGTGATTCCTAACAAGTTTGTAATAAAAGTAGGAGCAATCCTCTTCTCTAACATTCAAAGATTTTCTTGACTTAGACCACATTTGGGAATATATTAATTTAGTAATTTTTTAGTTATTTGGCTAAAATATAAACTAAA